AACATCACCCTGAACGATTTTCAGAGATTTAATCTGCTTCCCTCAATTTCGTAGAATGGACCATAACCCGGCTAGGAAGTGTCCTTGTTCAGGCGCTTCAGCTTCTGACACATCAAGTTAGTACTCAAGTTTACTTCTAAAAGTCCTTTTGAGTTGCACGCAAACCTCTCATTGATATAGTTGGCCTGGGACGATTGGAATATCGGAAGGTACTATTCCGCCAGAAGGACGGCGGCATCACCGTCGTTGTTGGTTGGGCCATTAGGACGTAGCAATTGAGAAACTCTGGTTTTGGTTTGTCGAAGAGAGACTGTATGACGGAATAGGCTTTCTGAATCGGGAACAAACTTATCGATCAGTTTTGTCTGATACCGGAGCCTATTTTCCCTCATTACCTCTGTGCATTGGTTCCTTGATTGTTTGAACTGCCTATATGCGTTGTTGTTACTAGTTTGTTTATATTTCACCCAAGAGTGCCTTTTCCGTTTCAGAATTTGAGAAGTGTGATCCTTAATGACTGTGCGTTGCTTGTAGGTTTTGGGGACCGTTTGCGGGAGAGACTGTTTTGTAGCACAAAAGATCGTGTGCAGTGAGAAATCTCGATGAGTGTCTACATAAAGTTGAGGGTAAATTTCCCAATCCATGTGCTGTAGATTTTGTTTTAAAGCTAACACATCCAATCATTTGTAATTCTAACGCCCGTTTTCAGTAAGGTGTTTTAGTTCGATTATGTTGGTAAAATCAAAGGACATGACGAGATGATCACTTCTATCCAGGGGAACCAGGATTAAGAAGCTGTCAATTAGTAATTCTTCATTTTGTAAGAATGCAGTATAAGTGTGACGGTGCCTGTCTGTGCCTCCACAAAGTTGCCAACTTCACATTTTCGACTAATTTCAGTTCTTCAGTGAGGTTGAAGAATGGAGCTTCAGAAGAGCTGTCACCTTCAATGTACGTGTGTTCAGCGATGTTGACTTTAAGAAGGTTGAATTCTCCTAGAATCAGAATATGGGTACATCCGAGACAAATAGAGCGAGATAATCCCTTCAATATACGGTTGTCGTACTCGGTGTCAGCAGTGAGCTTACTGTAGACCACTCCAACTAGACACTTTGGGGTTTTGGAAAGTCTCACTGAGTACCAGACAGATTCATCAAGATTGACAAACTTTTCAGTGTACACTTGATTTGCTATCAAGCAAGATTGTTGGTACATAGTTATATTGCCCCCCACTCCTGTTTCTCTCGAAGACCCTCGTTCATACTTCACTACTCGCCTCTATTTGTTTATCCGTCTGAAGATTTCTTTTTAAGGGCTGCTGACACTTTTCGCAAACCTGTCAGGAGAATAATGTTGCTCGGCAAGTCCTCAGCGTTCATGTTACATTTGCCATATACCCATCTGTGACCTGGTTTACTAAGTCTATTATAAGAAGTTACTGGAACATCTGCGCATACCATAGGTGACAGCAAAAAGACATCCAAGTCGCTTACATAGATTCTTCATCATCACGATGAAATGAGAGATACTAGATAGATCCTAGAAAGAGTTTACAACCGTTTAGGATCCTGAGATCAACTCAACCTATGTTTTATTATTAGTGATGACTTTATTTAACGCGTTTGGTAAGATAGTGAACGAACATAGTCATTTTCGTTCAACATGGTTATGAAGTGAAGTTTTGGGAAACTTTTCAACTACCTGTATCTGTATCGCATGAGATCTCATAACGCATGACATTACCTTAACATGTGTTTTCCGTGAGGGAAGTATAGTCCTAATGTGATTTCCATTTGGCAAACTTTTGATGTATTCTTGCGCAACAGAAGTACTACTTCTCATCCAAAGAATCTTTCCTGGGATCAACGTTTAGCAGAATAATTTTTTCCTGTTTTATCTGAGTTATTAGTTAACTATAACTTTACCCTTGTTTACTATTTGGTCTTCATAGTTTTTCACTCCGAGGCTAGTCTAAATATAACCTAACCATTTGTATCGCCAGTTTTTTTTTCTGTTTTGTCCATTTTGAGTGCATTGTTTTTTGTTTCTGCTCACGGTTGTAAACTCTTTCTAGGATCTATCTAGTATCTCTCATTTCATCGTGATGATGAAGAATCTATGTAAGCGACTTGGATGTCTTTTTGCTGTCACCTATGGTATGCGCAGATGTTCCAGTAACTTCTTATAATAGACTTAGTAAACCAGGTCACAGATGGGTATATGGCAAATGTAACATGAACGCTGAGGACTTGCCGAGCAACATTATTCTCCTGACAGGTTTGCGAAAAGTGTCAGCAGCCCTTAAAAAGAAATCTTCAGACGGATAAACAAATAGAGGCGAGTAGTGAAGTATGAACGAGGGTCTTCGAGAGAAACAGGAGTGGGGGGCAATATAACTATGCACCAACAATCTTGCTTGATAGCAAATCAAGTGTACACTGAAAAGTTTGTCAATCTTGATGAATCTGTCTGGTACTCAGTGAGACTTTCCAAAACCCCAAAGTGTCTAGTTGGAGTGGTCTACAGTAAGCTCACTGCTGACACCGAGTACGACAACCGTATATTGAAGGGATTATCTCGCTCTATTTGTCTCGGATGTACCCATATTCTGATTCTAGGAGAATTCAACCTTCTTAAAGTCAACATCGCTGAACACACGTACATTGAAGGTGACAGCTCTTCTGAAGCTCCATTCTTCAACCTCACTGAAGAACTGAAATTAGTCGAAAATGTGAAGTTGGCAACTTTGTGGAGGCACAGACAGGCACCGTCACACTTATACTGCATTCTTACAAAATGAAGAATTACTAATTGACAGCTTCTTAATCCTGGTTCCCCTGGATAGAAGTGATCATCTCGTCATGTCCTTTGATTTTACCAACATAATCGAACTAAAACACCTTACTGAAAACGGGCGTTAGAATTACAAATGATTGGATGTGTTAGCTTTAAAACAAAATCTACAGCACATGGATTGGGAAATTTACCCTCAACTTTATGTAGACACTCATTGAGATTTCTCACTGCACACGATCTTTTGTGCTACAAAACAGTCTCTCCCGCAAACGGTCCCCAAAACCTACAAGCAACGCACAGTCATTAAGGATCACACTTCTCAAATTCTGAAACGGAAAAGGCACTCTTGGGTGAAATATAAACAAACTAGTAACAACAACGCATATAGGCAGTTCAAACAATCAAGGAACCAATGCACAGAGGTAATGAGGGAAAATAGGCTCCGGTATCAGACAAAACTGATCGATAAGTTTGTTCCCGATTCAGAAAGCCTATTCCGTCATACAGTCTCTCTTCGACAAACCAAAACCAGAGTTTCTCAATTGCTACGTCCTAATGGCCCAACCAACAACGACGGTGATGCCGCCGTCCTTCTGGCGGAATAGTACCTTCCGATATTCCAATCGTCCCAGGCCAACTATATCAATGAGAGGTTTGCGTGCAACTCAAAAGGACTTTTAGAAGTAAACTTGAGTACTAACTTGATGTGTCAGAAGCTGAAGCGCCTGAACAAGGACACTTCCTAGCCGGGTTATGGTCCATTCTACGAAATTGAGGGAAGCAGATTAAATCTCTGAAAATCGTTCAGGGTGATGTTCTTACATCCGCTGAACCAAGGCACGGTGCCAACAAACTGGGGCTGGCTCACATCACTGATGTTTTCAAAGGAGATCAACTCAGCAAACCTTCAAGCTACCGACCGGCAGCACTTCTCTCAGTACCCTCAGAAATGTTGTAGTCTTTGTATACGACAGTCTACGTGACTGCTTTTCATCCATAAACTTATTTTCATCCCGACGGCACGGTTTTGGGGAGGGTTATTCTTATATAACCTACCTGCTGACCACGGTAGCGAGATGGACAACCGTCCTTGATTTCAAAGGGAGGGTTCGTGTCGCACACCTTGACATCTCAGAAACTTTTGATGGGGTCAGTCATTTGTGTCTTATCGATAAGGTCGAACGATTGGGTATCAAGTCACCACTGATTGATTGGCCTACTTCATATCTAAATAATCAACTTATTAAGATCAGCATAAACCTTAATCTCTCTTAGGCTATAGAATGTCCTAGTGTAATCCCTCAAGATTCAGCGCTAGGACCTCTCTTCCCAGGTTATGAAGACGACCTTCATCAGCAAGTATTGTGTGATTGATTGTTTTTTATTGATGGTGTGGAACTCTAGAGAGAACTTTGGAACCAGGATGATCGGACTTGACTTCGAAGTTGGGTGGACAACAACGGTGTCACCTTTAACACTCTAAAGTGTAAAGTAGTTCATTTGAGACATGTTGCAGACTACGAATACAACTCAGGTAACTCCCCTCTAGAGCTATTTAAGGTTGAAAATGATCTACGAGCGTTGGTATCCTATGATCTGAAGTCTTACGCTAACTGCGACAAAGAAAAACCTACGAGCGAATCTTGCTCTGGTATCTTTGAAGAACAGAACTTTCCATCTAATCATCAACAGTTTCATTAGTCCCTATTCAGAGTGTGAAAACATAGTTTTTTTCCTCTCACTCCAAAAGGATTCGGATACATTGGAACGTATCCATTGACGAGCTACGAAATCAAGTAGGGGACCAAAACTCAAGCCTTTTGAAGAGCACCTCAAACCACTGAACCTATTAGAGGTGACCTGACGACTTGTAGCACCTTAAACACCCCTGGACACTTTCAAATACCTACTTATTCACAGTCCCAACACAAACTTCAGGGGTAACACCCATAAACGAGGAATAACATAGCATAAAGGACTGCAGGCACGCCTTCTACTCCTCAAAAGTAGTCAAATTCTAGAATTCCCTGTCGGCTGAACCAGTCCAAGAAACTTCCCTGGAATCCTTTAATAGAAAACTTGACATATTCTTAAGGACTAAGGATAGTATCTCGCTATAATTTATTTTTTACTTTATTGTTAAATATATCTAGGTTCCTGCCTGGCAGCGTCGGTGGTCCACTGTTACCAGATATGGAGGCCTATTAAGTGAAAGCTTCTTCTATTCCGTCCAGGACCATTTGGAACCTTCAATGTACATTTAAACGTACCTCAATCAGCCAATCACGAGTTGGGACGAATATTTCTCCTTGATTACAGGGAGGGCAATTTGGAACCACAGGTTGTGACTCCTACTGTTTCTTGAGGCTGACAGGCCTGTTCGAGTCTACACAGGTGATAGAGTGATGGAAGAATTTCAGGGAGCATTAAATAGCTTTCAAAAGGACTGGTTACAGTTGCAAGTATATCTACGACTGCGTTATGAACCACATTCTGGTAATTTTCTTAGGAAAAGCACTCATCACTGCTTATGTCACTGTACAAACTCAAGGAGGAAGAGACAAGTTGCGTTCGTAGTGTTAAACACTGTCGAAACTATATGAAACTTTTGAGGCATGAAATTGGAAAGTAATCTGTCTTTATCTAAAACTTGGCAGTCTTCAAATGAATGCTACGGGTGATGAAATTACCATTCTTGAAAAAGCCAAAATAGATATTCTTAAAAAAGAGTATGTTTTACGGGATATTGAAGATGTTTTACCTCGCACACCTGGGTATGTGAACTGTTTGTGCGGATTTATTTAGATAGTTTGTATTTGCGTATCGTACTTGGAGCTCTTAATATATCGTTTGCTAACAAGGAGGACAAGTAATTACTAGGTTTTAGTAATGTGCGCAGATTCAGATACAAGAATGATTACGAACGGTTTAAAATCATTATTTCTGGGATATGTGCGTTTTTGGCGTTCCTGCTGTATTTTTTCGTTCAGAATAGGTGAGTTATGCTGTTAAAAATAGTTTATGTATTTTACTATTGTCAAATATTCATGACTTTTGAGCATCAAATGTTTGGACAAATGTGATTCCGGCCGTACGTTGTTGCAAGTCCTAAACTTTGATAACAGTACTGTGTGACCACTTTGCGGTCTGAAAAAGTGTTAAGCACATCGTCAGTCTCACGCCCTTGTATGTAATTTAATTGCGAAAGCCTCTAGTTGGTGTTCTAAAAGCGGTGTTTGAAATAATTGTGTCAAAATAATTTCTCAGTTATTCATAGGGAAAGATCTCCCCGTTAATTCTTCAGCGAACATTTTCAGATGCTTATATGGTGTATCAAGATCCTCTTTTGTTAGGCATCAATTATTCTGATGACAGCGTCTAGGGGATTCTTATGTAAAATCATTCAATAAACTGGGTCACATTAGGATGCATCAATAATAAATATCCAACCTTAAGAAATGACTTCATAACATCACCCTAAATATCTACACTACAAGGAATTTATAATTGAGGGAGCATGGTTCATTACGATTCTTCTGATAAAATTGAGTTTAATCTCCCTTGTAACGTTTGGTTCTGTCTCTGCGTGGATGACGATATCTTGTTAACCCCAAAGTTATGATTGGATTACATACAATAGTTGTTCAAGTAACGGCAAAAATTGTCGAACACAGGTAATGCCTCAACATTTCCAAAGTCAGAAGCGTTTATGTACAAGCTGTTCAATAGATTTAACTCTTAAAACTTTTCTGCATAAATTTCACCAACATTGGGTGCCGAAATCTGACTATTTATCACGAAGGTCGCTAAATGAAGTCTTTGTTCGTCCCGATGCCTAGATCCTGGTTCAGCCAATACTTCCGAGTCTTATTAGCTTATAAGGGACGGTCGAATTTTAAGAAAAAGGGTCTCAACAGGTTCTGATGGCAGTAAGTGCTGATCTTCTTAGCTACAATGCACAAGTACTCCTTGGTTGTATTCTCTACCTTGACCTTATTTTGTCATTAAACTGCTGATACAAAGATTTTGGAGCCACTGCTATAAGAAGGATTCAAAGATAACTTTAATAAAATATTGTTTGAACTTGCATATTCGTGAATAGATCATAGATTCGAAAAGCTCGTTTGGCCTTTATCAACTTACGTCACCTATGGCGAAGGCGAGATATCCGTCTATCAATTAAGGGACGAGTATACTGCGCGGCAGTTCGTTCCGTTCTACTATACGGCTGCGAAACATGGCCTTTAAGAGTAGAAGATATTCGTAAGTTACTAGTATTTGACCACAGGTGCCTTAGAAATATTGCGGGTATCTACTGGGATCACCGGCTAAGTAATAGTGAGGTTAGACGCAGGGTATTAGGGAATGACGGTAAATCAGTCGATGAGGTTGTGAATCTTCATCGACTGAGATGGTTGGGCCACGTGTTGCGTATGCCTGAACACCGATTACCACGACGCGCAATGCTAACCGGTGTTAGGGATAATTGGAAGAAAGTTAGGGGCGGCCAAACCAAAACGTGGCATCAGTGCTTGAAGTCACTAACTTCTAGTCTGAGCTATGTTGGTAGATGCAGGCTGCCTGGTTGGGGTCCGCGTGACTATCGTAACCAATGCTTGGAGACTCTTAGTGACATGGCTCAGAATCGATCACAATGGCGTCGGTGTATACACTCTCTGTCTTTCTTTAAACTAAGAGATTGAAAACACTTCATATCTTTCTTTCTACGAACTAATTCTTGATTCCTGTCCCATCTCCTTATATGCAATATTTCTTCTACATATTACCGCCACTGAATTAATTACTTCTATGAATCCGGTGTTCACCTTGTTTGGCTAATGTGGTATGGCAACTTTGACCGATGCATATATGTGCCTGGTCCTACGTTGCAGCTGACTGATTGACATGGAAAGTCATCTAGGCTGATGACAACCAGTAGTTTTGGACAATGATATCGACATCCAGTTTTTAATTTTGCTTCTCATAAAACCTAGCAATATTCTGATGAATGCTGTACAGCATTTCCTACCGTGTTATTGTGCAGGTATGTGACCTGGGTGTCGTAAGTAGATGATTTTAGAAGACTGGGATTTTTCTGCTGTCTTGGAGACCGAGTTCGCTTTTCACCCGTTTAAGTGTTGATGTTCAGGTAGCCTTAAAACCAACTACCGTGTATCGACTAATGTACCTGACTTTCAACCTCACTGCATGAGGACTGCAAACAATATGAGGCTTCAAAACACAATAAGGTAGAATGGCTTTTAAACGTACAATTCATTGATAGAGGAATCTACTTAAAATGTAGGATGTCAAAAAAGAAAGAGAAGCTAACCTTTTAGCATAATTTATGCGTTCCTGATCACTTACGGTATAAGTTTTCCTAGTATGTTTCGGAGAACATCTGAAGTTATCCATAATTCATATATTATAATACGGTTTTCTGTGTAGTTTGGTATTTTTCAATTCATCTGTTAAATTTGACATATTGCAATATCTCTCTACTATACAAGAGTTTATGTTTCTAAACAGTGTATGATCCTATACTCAGTTCATTTGAAAGTAATGACTTCGTAGATAGTTAGTCATAGCCAACGTTAAAACTTGGTGCAGATGTGTACCATAGTATTTAGTGAGTTAATCATATGTGCAATTAATTATCTCCTTGTCAATTCGTCATTTGTTTTTAGAATTGTGGATACTATTTTTCATTTTCTATTGGTATGGTACTATTGCACATTAACTATTCGGGAACGCATTCTTATTGCCAATGGGTCACGCATTAAGGGGTGGTGGAATATATCTCATTTTATGTCAACAGCCTATTCTGGTATTATGCTTATCTGGTGAGTGATAGTCAAATTAGTTGTAAACTATCGATTGATCGCTTTATAAAAATATTTCTCTCCCGTCTACTTTGGAAGTTTATGGTTTGTATGCAGTCAAGCCCTATGTTTTCTTAGTTTGGTGTAATTACACGGATTATTCTGTTTATTTGATCATGTCTGATGTTAATAGGTAGGAATGTTTAACTTAGTAGTCAGACGTTGAATAATTACGTATTAGAAGTCGATTAGTAAACTGTTGGACTAAATGTTATTCAAGGTAGAAAATATAATACTGGTTAATTAAAAGATATATTTTTTAGTTAATGCTGATAATTGTATTATATTCCAAGCAAATATTTAATCCTTAATCCAGGAGGGGATATATACCTTACGTTTAGATCATTTGGTTGTTTATCAGATTCACCGGTTGTTAATGTGTGGCTAATTGCAATTTATAATTAAGTTATATCCTCGTATGTTCATATCCTTTTAATTACATTTTAGGCCTAGATCTCGTTCGTATGATGAATTTCGTGATCAGTTCATGCTTTTTTGCTTATACCTAAGTAAGTAATAATTTCAATAATTTGAGATATAATCTGATGATATTCATCCGGATATAATACTTTGCTCGCTCTTCTTTCTAGGCTATTTTCAGACGGATCCAGAATGCTCAGAGAATATAGTCCTGTTAAGTGAAATGGTTGAAAAGTACGGTTTTGTGAACAAGTGACAGTATACAAGTGTTTAGGGTGTATTTTTCACTCAACACATACAGTGTTGTCTCAAGGCTATCCTGTGTCATTGATTGAGAGTGTTGACAGTTTTATTTGTGTTGGTCAGTCGGTCACAATGTAGAGTCTGGCGCGTATGTATGTCAGTCCAAGTTTCCACACCCCATTAGCAGAGCGAGATGTTAGACCGAATCCCAGAATAGTAAAGGTACTAACAATGTGAGTAGCGATTAAAATGATTGGGCCATCGAAGTTACGACTAGAGAATAAAATATATATTAGTGCGACGAAAAGATTACGAAGAATTCGAAAGCTTAGAATATGAGGGAAGACAAAAAATAGATGTATCTGTGCCATTGCAAACAGTTTTGAGCCATTTCATTCAAAGTCTCTAGCCGCTGGTTGAGATAATCACTCGGACCCCAAACGAGTAATCTAAACCCGTTAATATGAGTCAGTCTAGTTGTCAATGACTTTATGAACTGATGCCACACTTCGGTTTGACCACCCCTAGCCTTCTATCAACTTGCTCCTACACCAGACAAAATCACTCGTCAAGATAGTTGTCGGTTGCGCACACGTAACATCTGTCCTAACCACCTCAGTCGATAAATATTTACAATCTCAATCGATTACCCATCTTTGCGTAGTATCCTATTCCTGACCAAGACGTTGGTTATTCGGTGGTCCAGAGGTACATGGACAATGCTTTGGGGACACCTATGGTGGAATACTAGTAATCTACGAATGTCATCTATTCGTAATATTTCGCACCCACAAACTAGAACAGAGCAGATTGTTGCACAGTAAATTCGTCCTTTGGTCGGGAGATGGATATTTCACCTACGCCACAGGTGATGCAAATTGGCAAGAGCCAATCGAACTTTTGGGATCTGTGCCGAGATTTCGTCAGACACCAGGCCATAAGTACTGACGAGACTCAAGATCAGTGAGGCGGTTGATACGCTCGACCACTTCGCCGCCTATTATTAATTCAGGCGCTGACGCAAGGCAGTCCCGGAACAAAATTTCGTTTTTGGGGGGAGAAAATCATGGGACTGCATTTCGTTAGTGTTTTCACCAAACATTTGTGTACTCCAAGTCTACAAGTGAATTTACTAGCATCAGATCAACCTCAGGAAAATCAAATGGTGAAAATGTTGTCTATGTCAGAGTTAAATAAAAATGGGTAAAGCGGAAAACCTTGGCGAATACCACTTAAAGTTACCAATTCCGATGACCGTTCATCATAAGCTGTGACTCAACCAGTAGTGTTCGAGTAGACAGTCTATACAAGGTTAATGTACTTCTTTGGTATGCCTTTTAATGACAGACACTGCCAAAGAACCTCACGATCAACAGAGTGGGACGCTGCCTTAAAGTCAAAGAATACAATTGTGGTCGGACGTCGAAAAGTACGTCTATGTTCTAAAATCTGACGAAGGTTGAATATTCGGTGTTGGCGAGATATCCAACTGGCAGTCAATGGGCGTGTATAATGTTCAGCAGTCCGGACTATATCATTTTATTGCCTACTTCATGATCTCTGACAGTAGAAGATATATTTTCTGATGCGGGTTTTTGATCATAGGTGTCTTCGAAACATCGCTAGCGTCTTGTGAAACGACTGCGTGAGGAATGTTAAGGTTAGGCGTAGGGCACTTGACAAAAGTGGGAAATCGATTTATGAGGTTGTAAATCAGCTACTGTGGTGGTCAAAATATATGTTACGTGTGCCTACCTTGACTATCGATGGTTAGTGTAGGAGTAAGAGTAAGTTGATCGAAAGCTAGTAGCCAGAAGTGGTGCCAGTCCGCGAAGTCATTGACCGTTGGTCTAATCTGTGTCAGTTGGTGCAGACTACTTGATCGGCGCCTGCAAGATTTTCTCATTCAGTGATTGGCGACTATAGATCATACGGCTCAGAATCATTTACATTCGCGCGGACTGATCCACTCTATGTCCTTCTAGATCTTATATTCAAGTATTCCTTCATATATATTTTCCCATTTCGTCTTTTTGAACCCTATTCTCAATCTCTTGTTTATCTCATTGTCATTAACACCACATTCCTCAAATCTCTTGCCAATAATCTTTATAGTTTCATGTCGTCGTGCTAATTTAGCATGGGAACTTGACCAAACGCACATCTGTGTCAGACTCTATGTTGATAATGACTGACTGTTGAGTGAGTTTCTGTTTTTGTCATTATCGTCGTTCTTCAGCAAGAAGTCTTTGTAAATAACGCCTTTATTGAAATTTTCTAGACCATGTGGCCAACTAAGCATAGGAAGGACTGTTACATTTTTTGACCATTCACTCATGATGTCATACGTTATATGAATAGTTTAAAATGGTTGAGGTGTGAGTTTTATATATATATATATATATATATATAGCAACCACATCCACGTTAGTATCTAGTTCGCTAAAGTATTTTTAAAGTTGTGATCCTGTTTTGATGTACTACATTACTTGTCCTAACCTCATAGAAAAGGTATACTCAAGTTACAATTGAGTTTTTGATGTATTTATTTTCCCCACTGCCGTTCAGACTACAATCTACCAACTTTAATTAAAACAGTCTGGTGTTCTTTATTGTTGTCCGGTCAGTGTACCTTATAGATTGGGATACTGACTTAGATTGTTAATCAGTAAGTTGTACCGAAAAAGATAATGGTTTTCACATAGCTTCGTCTTCATTAAGTGCGTGCTGTTTTCATTCACATTTCTGTTTGGAAAATTAGTTAATCATTGATAATTATTAAAAATTTATATTTTGTAGTCAGCGAAAAGACAAAACAGAATTATTTTTGCTGATATGTCTCGTTATTTAATGCTAATAACTTTATCAGAGTACTATTACTTCATTATACTAATTAGCAATAAGTTGTCAAGAACACAATTCTTCTTTGTTTTTTTATTAATTGGATAATACAAATTTCTAATGATAATACCACTCCCCTAATGCCCAAGTTTTTTCAAACCATTAAATCATTGATAATAATACTGAAAGTCCTTATTTTAAGATGAACAAAAAATACAAATAGGTTCACTCTAAATGATATTTTCTTGTTTCTCACGAGGTCAGTCATGTATAAAGCCTAATATAGATTTGATAGTTATTAGAAATAAATAGGAAATTGTTAATATTCTCAGAAGCGATTTCGTTTTATTATGTATGTATTCAGAATTAGAAACCATCGTCGTAATATATGTTGTTTGTATAGTGATCACATTTTTTTGGCCATAAATCCGTGTTTAGTTAAGATATTTGTACATTAGTCATCGTAATAACTAAAATAGATTGGATCATATATCATGAATGTACTTAACATTCTTTTGAATAATATGGGCATTGGACTATTTGCTTATCTGTTTGATATAATGGGCAAGAATTAAGTCTGATAGTCAAGTCTTAGTTCATTGGACAGTGAGTAACCTACGAAACTGATTACCTCTTATCGTTTATAAAACTTAACTATATTTATTTTTCGGCTAATAATTTATAAAGAACCATATTATTTTATTTAAAATTTCCTATTCTTCTGACTGGCCTTACGTTAATAATTCGGTCTCATGAACAACTCCCGACCGTAGCTGCTACCTTGACGCGGTGGTCGGGCTTCCCTATCGCAATGACCCAACCGAGCTATATTGGCTGGAGCGTATGTTCCTGCAGGTTCTACCATGCCAGGCAGGTCGATTGGAGAACGGTAAAAATAAAAGCAGCAACTCAAGGTCTGAGGGCGAAGTCGTACTGCTGACTGTAGAGGAGTGCGACAGCAGTAAGGTGTTCCCCTCGGACAACCAGCATCTGCAGAGATGCTGCTTTCTTACAAGGAAGGAAGGGGTTAGAAAAGGTTGACCCTAAAAATGTCATACCTCACGGATTTTCGTCCCCGGTGGTAAGGCTCTTTGAAGAACGGAGCTAACACATTAAAAATCTCCCACGAAAAGGCCGTGCGCGACCAGCCTCAAGCAGTTGTCCCTTGAGCTCTGTGGTCACGCTCCCAGGTCGTTAAGACCAACACTAATCCGACTTCCTTTTCAGGTTCCTCAAGAAATACCCTTCCACGGTATGGGCAACCGGAAGTGATATCAGCCCTCATACCCGTAACAGCACACGAGACCAAGTTGGTCACATTCAAATCCTTCCTACACCTCCTAATAACTCTCTTATTTCCACGACTAACCCTTCTTACATCCCTTTATCACCTCGCCCCACTAGTGCAAACGATTCGAGTACGCGGAATGTTATTCCTGATCTCCTGAAACCACGCTCCAAACTACACGTAGGAGCCTTCAACGTCCGAACACTGTGCCAAATAGGACAACAGGCTTCGTTAGCTAAGACTTTAGAATCTCGCTCCATCGATGTGTGCTGCGTCTCCGAAACGCGCACACAGGATCCGAGTAGTGTCATTCATTTGACCGCACCATGTCAAAGTAACGAACCAACTCGATTTACGCCTCGTGTATCTGGAAGCCGTGATGCTGCTTCCCGTGGCCTCTCTGGCGTAGGTATAGCATTGAGTCTTAGGGCAGAACTAGCTCTCTTAGACTGGATCCCAGTAGACAGTCGTTTGTGCGCTGTCCGACTAAACGGAACAGTAAGGACTAGAAAAGATAGGGACACTCGTCGTCTCTACCTATTCTCCCACTGACTACAGCTCAGATGATGTAAAAGATGAGTTTTACAGAAAGCTTCCTGACTTCCGGAAAGCTAGGCGCTCTGATGTAGTAATAGTGACTGGTGACTTTAATGCTCAAGTAGGTAAACTAAGCGAAAAGGAAAGACACCTGGGTGGATCTTATGGTGTTGCGGCTCAAAGAACAGATAACGGCGACCGTCTGTTGCAGCTATGCTCAGATAACCGCCTGGTTCTTGCAAACACTAACTTTAAGCATAAGGAAAAACATCTTTTGATATGGCGACCCCCTAATTCGTATCAACATTGAACCCAAATAGATCACATCGCTATCAGCCACCAATGGAGGGGCTCGATAGAAGACTGTCGCCTATTCTAGAGCACATGCTTAGATTCAGACCATGCTCTGGTGCGAGCGCATATTTGTCTGCGTCTTACTGGACATAGGAAAGATGGTACAAGGAAACCCCTTAGGGTCCTACTTAATGATAGTCAAGCTAAGAGTATATTTCAGGAACAACTAGAAAAACAGTTAGGCAGCCATGTAAGTGATGCCCACCCCGAAGCAGCGTGGAATGACATCCGAAAAGCTGTAGAAACAGCAGTGATGTCTGCAAGTACGGTAAACCATAAGGTTAGGGAGAAACACTGGATCTCAGCAGCATCTACCGCACTGATAGATGCTCGGAAACTCATTCCATCTGGCTCTGAACATAACGAAGAGCGGAGTCAGCTTAAGCGTAAGCTGACTAGAAGCTTGCGCAATGATCGTGAACAGTGGTGGGTAGCAAAAGCAAGAGAGGTCGAAAAGGCAGCAGCAATAGGTAACAGCAGGCAACTGTTCAGACTTGTCAAGGAAACTGGTATTAGGAACCCAACTGTTAGCAAAACAATCTCAGAGAAAGATGGACATATTATTCGTTCTCAATACAGGAGATTGGGTCGATGGGCAGAACACTTTAGGAATCAGCTCAACTGGCCTTCAGCCACACTTCGGTTTTCCACGATCTCCAATCTACCTGAATGGCAAATTAATGTAAGTCCTCCGACTCTACGAAGTTGAAAAAGCTATAGGAAATCTGAAGCGTGGGAGAGCAGCAGGCCCTGACAGGTTTACCCTTGAGATTTTTAAGGATGGTGGTCCAGTATTAGCAGCGAGATTGACTGAGGTCTTAGGCAGAATCTGGGAACTGGACGTAATCCCATCTGACTGGTTTCAATCACTGATTGTGCCAGTTTATAAGAAAGGACAAAAGTCTTCTTGTGACAATCACAGAGGAATTAGATTGACTAATATAGTGTCTAAAATATTAGCTTCAATAATACTTCGACGTCTAACCAAAGCTCGTGAAGAGCAGACTAGAGAAAACCATGCTGGTTTTCGACCTGGACGTGGTTGTATTGATCAAATATTCACATTACGTCAGGTCCTAGAACGTAGACACACATTCAGACGCCCCACAATGGTAGTATTTCTCGACCTTAGGGTGGCATTTGACTCGGTTGATCGTGAGGTCCTATGGCAGTGTTTGTCTCTGAAAGGAGTACCAAATAAGTACATTAACCTTATAAAGGCTCTCTACTCGAACACAACTGGTCGAGTGAGAGCTTATGGCGAACTGTCATCAGAACTGATTACCTCAAGTGGTGTTCGTCAGGGCTGTCCACTCTCTCCATTCTTGTTTAACTTTGTTGTTGACGTCCTTTTAGAGATGACACTTTCCTCATCTAAATTTCTAGGAGTTGAACTTCTTCCGGGAGATCCACTTGTTGACTTAGAATATGCCGATGACATAGTTCTATTTAGTGAAGACGCTGACAAAATGCAGAGTCTGCTGACCACTCTAAGCAATAATGCAAGCATGTTCGGCATGAGATTCTCCCCCCTCGAACTGCAAAATGTTGCTTCAGGATTGGGTTGCATCGACACCGGAACTAGTGATAGGGAGTGAAGTAGTTGAGCGTGTCGACCGCTTCACTTATCTCGGAAGTCTCATCAGCCCTTGTGGTTTGGTGTGTGACGAAATCTCAGCACGGATACAAAAGGCTCGACTAGCTTTTGCCAACTTGCGTCATTTATGGCGTAGGCGAGATATCTGTCTATCTACCAAAGGACATGTGTACTGCGCAGCAGATCGTCCCGTCCTACTCTATGGCAGTGAAACATGGTCGACAAGGGTAGAGAATATTTGTAGGTTACTAGTATTTTATCATAGGTGTCTTCGAAACATTGCTCGTATATCCTGGGACCATCGAGTAAGTAACTCAGTTGTTGGGAAACGGGTACTAGGTAAGGATGGCAAATCAATTGATGAAGTAGTGAAACTTCATCAGTTGAGATGGCTGGGACACGTGTTGCATATGCCCAACCATCGACTGCCCCGACGTGCAATGTTCAGTGGTCTAGGAGAAGGTTAGAAGAAAGCTAGGGGCGGCCAGACCAAAACATGGCACGAATCCATGAATTCACTAACAGGTGGACTGAGCCATGTTGGTAGGTGTAGAGTACGTGGTTGGAGACCGCGAGATGATAGCAACCGATGGTTAGAGACCTTGAATGACATGGCTCAAAATCGTTTGCAATGGCGCAGGTGCATTCACTCTTTGTGTCCTCCCAAATCCTAATCTTCTGAATTCTCCTTGTCTCTTTTTTCTCTTTCCAAATCTATTCCACTGGACTATACTCCTTAAATAACATCATCAAACCCTAATGTTTCCGATTATAGCTTATACTCTTATTACCTCTACCACTACGGGATTTGAATCAACAACTGCATCTCTGTGCTTATGCAGTTTGGCAACTCGAACTGATGTACGTACGTACGAAGTTCTACGTTGTTACTGATTGACTGACTCATAAACAACTATCACTTGGCCATATTGTGTCATTCATTGGATATTATGTATCAGTCAACGTTTTTTCTAAATTTTAACAATCGAAAATTGGTTCATGAAATCCCACTGCATATTACTGTTTATTTGTGTTTTTTTTTAAATTTCGAACAGTTCCTTAGCATGTATTCGTTTATTTATCCCCTTCCCTGTTGCCTTTTGATATCTTTCTTTTGCTTACTTCTCTAACAGTCTGTTCCATTGAGAAATGTTGAGCAACTAGAAAGGATTGTACTTTTTTTGTGGTGATTGTCTCCCAGATTTCTGTATCTCGTGAAATAATTTTTGCTGATAATGTTTGTTTCCTTTTACAGATCTTGTTCATTTTATACAATTTCAATATCAAATAAGTTGCCTGTATAAACTTCGTACTTTGGGTTGTCGACATCCAATGGATATAACTGTTGGTAAATTAATGGACTTTATTATTTATTTAAAAGTATTTTATTGACTTCTGTGAAAGTATTTATATTATCTCGTCATATATATATATATATATATATATATATATATATATATATATATATATATATATATATATATCAGTAGGACGTGATTGTTTATTGAGATTATTTATTTGACTGAGTCTGTGGTCTGTGTTCAATGTTGATTGCGTGAACTATGTTCTATGATATTTTATTCTACTTAGATCAGTCATGTAATACAAAGTGTCTAATTATTTAGTGTGATTGTAAGTTTTGTTCCTTACGGGTTAAATCAGTGAATTGATAAGATTTACGATGTGCTTTCACCGGGTTAAATAGGTTGAGATTTGTTAACATAAAGTTTCTCATGTCGATCTCTCGATACTGGCCTACTTCCCTGAGGAGAAATTTTCTGAGACAACACTGTTCAATATCTGTAATCAAAGGTTTGTAATTTTTACTTAGTGATATTACGTTTTGACGTAGAACTAATTCTATCAGGTAATGTTACTTTGAACCACTGTCAGATGGTGTTGAAAGACATCACTGAGGTTTTATGCCATTTATTAATACACTGAGGTTCAAGACATTAATATGATTTTGAGTTTTCATTGATATACTGTTCACTGTTAACGTTATATTCGGCCCCTTTTTTATATGTTGTCTTTTCCTGTTTTTGATTTTTATATTCTAAGGTCTTTCAAAGTGGGGCAATTGAAACCAACTTTAGTTAAAATTATTAAGCCATGTTTGATTTACTTCTTAAGTAATATGCTAATTTATTCCACTGGATAATTTCTTTTCACAGATGGTTTCATGTCATGGATGTTTCGTCGAATTACGTTCGTTCTACCTTTCCTATTTGTAGTATACGGTTTTGAACTATACATGGCTTATAATCTTTACGTCATATCCCAACAGAGCTATTGTCACGAATGGCAGGTCAGATATTATTTAAATGTTTGCAAAATTACTTAACATAAAACTGATATCTTATAAACACAAACAGGACAAGTAGCAAATATGATTACATTTTATCAGCATTTAGTGACTGAATCCATTATATCAGGGTTTAAAAGGAACGGAAAAAACTAAGTGACACTAAGTTAATATTAATATTTGTTAAAGCTTCATACTTGTTATTAATTAAACGTATTCATGCTTCTTAAGATCCAGGAATAAGAGAAAACAGCTTCAATCAATCAATCACAGATTGTGGTTTAACTAGATTCTCACTATATATTCAATTGTAGGTGTTCTATTTGTTTCGTTCTTTTTCAAAACTATGTTTTATTCAAATAATCGACAAAACCCGTGTGGTCGTTAGTGTCTTTTGTTGAAATTATTCTGTCTTTATCCATCAGCATCGGATTTTTATATATAAAGTGGCATAGTAAGCTTTTTTCACCAAACATCTTTACCTTCGTAACTGTCCAACGTTTCAGTAAGTAGACTTCTGAAAAATACTATAATGGTTAACGACCTACCAGGTTTTCCGAAAGCTTCAGTAATACGATTAGAATGTTGGATAAACTTTAGCACAATAGAAATAGTTTATACCAGCCTACTGTTAGCGGATATACTTGGAGATTTTCTTAGTCTCTAATAGTTTCCAATCCGATTTCTCACTTGGTAGACAATGTCAACATCAGTGGTTCGAACAGCCATCTACTTCATGGATCATCTCAGTCTATTTAGCTGGCCGCTTAAAGCTCTTTCTCTACAGCTAATTTTGAAAACCAAAGTAAAATAGTTAATTTCTTTTTAGAAATGATTGACATTCTAAACACTTCAGCTGATTAATATTCACATCAACGCACTCTCTTCATTCACTTAAAACTCTACTTCAATATTTTTTAATTATTAGTCATAAAACATTCCAGCAATGCTTAAGTAGATTTGCTTGACTTACTAATCTATTCTCCATCTTTTATTTACTTGTGCATACGAAATAACTATAGGATCATTTCAATACGTAACGACAAACAATGTTTTTAGTGATGAGTTGTGTTGTGAATCGTATTTTACCTACATTACTGACGGTTATCAAAAAATCCAATCTGTAACCTAAAAGAGTACGAATGAATCGACTCATCTCATTTCGCAAATTGAGAATAGTTTTGTTTTTCAAAATACCTTTATTATCTTAAGTGATTTTTTACAGTTGTCTTTTATTATGTTATGCTAATTAATCCTGTATTTAAATGGTGATGTTTATGGATTTCACCTCAGCCACTTAGTTTGACAAAATCTTCGATTTGCACTCAGATGGTTATTTCGGATGAATCACTGATTCATTTTAGAACTGATCATAAGGATTTTACAAATATCGTCTGATGTTTTTTTCCGTACGATGTCAATCTTGGGACTTAATAATTCTAGCAGAATAGCATGAAACCATTTTATTTTGTTGGTTTTCGTCAGCTGCTTACAACCTCCAATATTTAAAAATCATAATTACAAAATGGGTTTAAATTAATTACATGAAAGAGTTTAGTCGGAAGTTATGTTGAAGACATATTAGCATAGCAAGGGTGTAAATAAATTTAATAGACTGAATATTGTAAATATATACCTTATGTAAAAGAAAATTCTACAACATAAATTGTGACAACAGTTCAAATGGCCAGAAACAAGTGATTACATAATGAGTAAACGCTGATAGGAATAAAATGCGTAAAGCTCAGTTAATAAAATAAGATTACTAATCTGGAAGATAGTTGAAATAAAAACTCAATGATGTAATAAATGCAAGAAAGTGTTAGAAAAGTTTAAGATGCAACGAAGTATTATGTCACCAATCCAAGGAAAGATTAATAACCATCTCCTTTTGAACACGTAAATCAGGTTTTTGACGCCTGACAGCAACAGCTTCAGAAGACTGAAGTTTGGTTGTTTATTAATTACCTTGAAAGATTTCAAGGTATCGACTTGATGTCCTGTATTCAAGAAATGTTTAACAATTGCGCTATTTAGTCTTTTTTTCTAGTACTAAGGCTTTTTGGAACATGCTCAAAAAATCTAAAATATACCCTCCTTTCTGTTCGGCCAATGTTACTGCTTTGGTAGGTTCACGTAAATTTATAAATACAGTTGGCAGTAACATGAAAGGGGTGCTTGTCAACCTTTGATTGGGTTATTGAACATGTTTTATACAAAATTAATGGTTTAACTGCCGGGTAAGTTCTGGCTAGTGCAATGTTAAGCCTCCTGTTGATCGTGCTTGCGACGTCATCACCTTTGGAGTTGAAATTTATGGATATTGGTTTTTTATTGACTGTAATCACTTCCGTCTTGTTTTCTATATATATATATATATATATATATATATATATATATATATATATATATATATATATATATATGATAACAAAATTTTCATGCTTTATTTCCATTCGCATTTATCATACTGTACTAATAATCTCTCTTTGATGTAAGTTTCATTTCAAAAGTGTTATTTCACTAAAGTCATAAGCCGATTTATGTTAAATCACCATTAAATATCTAAGCGGCCGTTTTGTCCTAGCATGGAACTCTTCAGCAGTGTGCACCAACGACTTCACACGCACGAATTGAACTCATAATCTCCGGTCTCGTACGTGAACGCTTAATCTAGACCACTTAGCTGGGATCAACGGCCTATACTAAAAATAAATTTTATTATTTTTTGTTTAGCTGCAAATATAATTAGTGAATTACATACATATTTTCTTTTCGACCAACGATGATTATTCTGATAACTTAATGTATAATGATTATAATGTGTTTTCTATTAAAGGTACCTGCTGTATCAATCATTTATTTCATACTATCAATGGGCAGTATTGTGACAGTGTTACAAGTGATACGTCAAAAGATTTGTGCACCACCACCTATTGTACTTCATGATCATTTAACGAAAAAGTATAGTTTCGCTGTACCAAATGAAAAATGTAATGCTTATGACGAATTCGGTGATAATAATGATACAACAACAGAAAAGGTCATCAAATAATTATCGTGTATACATACTTACTGAATTGAATTCTTGTGTATCATTTATTAAGAAAATGTTCCCCTTCTGTTTTGTAAAGAAGATAAAATAGAATCATTTATAGCTGATCTCTTATCCAATAAAAAAGTTGTCTGTGTTGATTTCTATAATTCCTGTATGTGTTTTTAATATATACTATTGAAAATATATGATTTACACATTTCTGTCAACCCAATTCCTCCTGTCTGCATACTTTTGTAACTCGGCAACATTCTCTCCAACGTTAAAAGGCGAATTCAAGTTACATCTTTGCTATATCTTTGAAGTTTTGTCTTTTACAGTTGACTTATACAGATATTTTTCTACTATATGATGATCATCCCTTCTTTTGCTTCGCAAGCTAATTTTATAGTTGACTATCGTCATTGAAGAATAAATTTTCTTATCTACCCACCAACCATCTTTATACTTGATCCAGATAAACCAGACATTGAACATTTTATTACCTTCACTACTTGTTCGTTCAGGTAAATTGTAATATTTTATTCTCAAAGATATCATACTTCTATGAATTTGGTGATCTTGTTGTACTAATGGGGTGAGGCAACTTGAACCAATGCATGTATATGCCTGGCCCTACGTTGTAGCTGACTGACTCATAGGCCTATATAGGTTTGGATACTATGTGTTTTCCTCTTTCTCCTAATTTATTGTATAAATTATTATTGTACGTGTTGTTTAGCGTGTATATTTCCAATTAGTGTTTTTTTAATTCACATATTTTGATGATATGAAAGGTGTAGTTTCAAAATTTATAAATGCAAAAGTATATTCATTTCCTTAGTTTAATGTTGTCTTGATGGAAAAAAATATAATCTGTGACGTAAATGAGGTTTTCTTTTGTAGAACCAAACATTCAATATTTAAGTCATTGTTCCACACTAGTCATTTATAACACTGTTCATATCCACCGATGTGATAAAGTTTTTGTTATATCCGCGCCGCTTATTAATTATACTTGAAAAATACAAGGAACCACGACGCGAAGTAAGAACATGAAAATTAGTACAAGTGAAGATTTATCAAGCCCAAAACAAGACCACCCTAATTGCAAATACACTCAATATATATTGATTGGACACTCATTTTAATTATAAAATATAATCACACAGATAGAAAAATACCCAGAGTAATAGCAAAATCAAATGTCGATCAGGCCCAGTATAGTTCATGTTGATTTAATACAAGAATATCGTATCTTAAAATAATATCATTCTCAATTAAATTAATATTATAACCGATAACATCACAGTGAAAAATAAAAGCAAATATTACATCACATTGAATTAAATATACGAAAGTAATGTTGAATAGAAGTAACAATTAGTAAAAGACATTAATCTTGTCTTTTTCATCCCGTCATATTAGTTTTAAAGGATAAAATAAAGCCACGTTTGTAAATAGGGTATTTCTTAAAATTATGATCTAGTTTACAGACCATTTTCTTTGCCCATTGTAAATGCAACCAGATTCTTAACTATGCTTTCCTTGAGATTCAGACTAGCTTTAATCTTTAGTTGTAATACTATTCACACAGGTATAATTTTCTTGACTTAGGAATTGTTAGATAATATTTAAATCTTGCAAAACCGATAAGAGTCGGTAGTCTTGTATGTATGAACACGGTCGGTATTCGCTTCAATATAATCTATTCAAAATCTGGATTTGGAAAGAGGGAAAACATTGTATAGCGTTTCAGCAATAACTTTGTTAAGAGTTAGGAATGAAACAATAGCTTATACGACCGAAAAAACCCTATTGGCTACCTGGACGTCTGTCGTTTGTTTTTAGACTACCCGCTCAAATATTGGATTTTGTTGCTTGAAACGAAATTCTATGGATGCACTTGAAAAACTACAAATCCATAGTTGAAGGAGATATTCATAGTAGTTTACTGAAATCCGGGATATGAATCTTTGGGATACGGTATAGATCGATGATAAGAATTTTTACTTCAGTATAGCTCACAGTTTTCTAATAGTGCCATATGTCAGATTAAATGACAATGACCGTTTTTCCACTTAAAGTGATTTAAAGTAATAAGGATTTTCACTAATAACGAAATGATTAATAAGAATCAGTATAAAATAAATACAAGTCATGTAACGGTAAAAGGATGTTCTACTGATTTTAAAAATATCTATCTAGTAAAAGGATGTACTCAAATATGTACAGTTATATTTAAATGTTATTGTTGCTTGTGAATCAAATTGTCATTAGGAGAATCTGGTACGAAAAGAACAAAAAGCAGCAAAACAGTTACAGGATTGTGAATAGTTGGTAAGATTTTCAATGTTCACCTTTACTGTACCCTTTGCAAATTAAGGTATTGAACGAACTTCTGTTGGATACACAAATGAAAATGTAAATTACTATGAACTTCACAGTTTGAAACCGTTCTACGCCCACACTTTATAGATCCTGGTAGTTTCGTGTAAGTAATGCCAAAAGTACACAATGAATTAGTGTGAAACCAAGAAACGATTATGATCCGTGTCGGGGCACATGGTGTATTTTCTCTGCACAGCCATATCAGTATATAAGCAAAGATGGATAATGGCTAGCAGTGGAATCCGGGACGCGCGTTTCGTCCTATTTGAGACTCGTCAGCTGGATGTACCCGCATCTCAGAGTTGATGTTCACTCTGGGACTCGAACCCAGTACCGTCCGCTTCAAACGCCATCGCGTTATCCACTTAGCTACTGAGTCCTGATAGCCAAGTGCAGTCCTAAATATCAATGGGAAGATTCAAGTAAAACAATAACAAGTGAATTAAACTTCACCCCGTTGCACAAGCAAGTGGCTATCAGGACTCAATAGCTAAGTCGATAATGCGATGGCGTTTGAAGCGGACGGTACTGGGTTCGAGTCCCAGAGTGAACATCAACTCTGAGATGCAGGTACATCCAACTGACGAGTCCCAAATAAAACGAAACGCGCGTCCTGGATTCCACTGCTATTCATTATCCATCTTTGCTTATAATGCTTGTAAATTAAGGCAATACGCACAGTATGCACATATGCCAATAAGAGACTGATGAATTTCAGTCCTAAATATCAATAGGGAGATTCAAGTAAAACACTATCAAGTGCATATCAGTATATGTTTGACGCTTCATTCGGGAAACACTGAGTCCGGTGAATCAATATTGCTCAAAAGCATCAGATAGACTGGGAAATGCGTATGGAGCTGTCAGACTGTGTATTTCATTTTCTTATATTTGAAGCAAGGGCTATATGAAGAGAATTAATCGGAATTCAGTCGAATAAACTGTCTTTATCAGAGGTCGAAATGTTCGACTTTCCATTAGCCATGACACGAAGTCTCTATTGAACCTATAGTGAAAAAGTTTTAATGGATGCAAATCTCATGGGAAAAATTGTTTATTTTTACTTAGTAGAAATTTTTAAATTGATTACCAAATACCAGTTGGTCAATTTAACAATGTTTTCTCTGAAACAGTAATCAATTAAAAACTCAAAAGATGTGACATCAAGCCTAAAGATTACATAATCGGTCAATTATAAATTTGTTACCTAAGAATAAGAATCCAGTAAGTTTGAAGTGAAGCAGTTCGACAAGTGTTTAGTGTCATTTCAATTTTTATTGAGAACTTAACGTGATCTATCTGTTTTAATACTCTGATTACCTAATTTTCTTTGCACCTATTTTATTAATTACACTAAACATTTATGTACAACTGTTTCACTTCAAACTTACTGAATTCTTATTCTTATGTAACAAGTTTATAATTAACCGATTATGTAATCTTTAGGCCTGATGTCACATCTTTTGAGTTTTTAATTGATTACTGTCTCAGAGAAAACATTGTTAAATTGACCAAACACCATTCATTTGGTGACTGAATTGGCTCTTAACCGCAATATATAAATGTTGAACTAATCAAAAAGAAATATTTCTCTGGTCATTTTGTGTATTTAATGAGTATATTTAGTATATGAATAGGGCTACATTTTACAATTAAATTATATCAGATTAGCTTCTTTTATCGATTAATTTCATACAATACTGTACTTAAAAAACTGTAAACAATATTTGTTTTATTATTAGATAATTGGGTATATTTTTTCTAAATAGTGTTGTGAAAGATAATATCCATTATCATATTTTAGAACGACAGATATTCTTCTTGAGCATTGAATAAAAATATTTGAAATGTAGTGACATAATAATAATTTAGTTATCAGTGGTCATGAGTTAACTAGTCGTAGTCTGCGTAGGATCTAATATGAATGTGTATCTGTCCAAGCTATTACAACGAAAAAATAAATTGATATGATGTGAAGAGCACAAGAGAAAATATAATCTGGTTGAATGAAAAGATAAATGTAAGGATATGTGTAGATGGATTACGTCGCAAACTGACATCGATCGGGATACCATCGGAAATATAAAGCTCTGCATAGCTATTTTGTTCTAGTATAAGGTTACTTAATAGCATGTACTCCTGACCCCACAACAGATTGGACTTGAGATCTTCAATTCTCTTTATGGCCCCAAAACCAACGGACTACATCGTTAGCATTCAAATGTACATTTTCCCAACTTTGATTGACTCTAACTATGGCTCATTCATTCGCTGATCTTGATGATACCTTTCACCACTGAAGTGTCTAAATTCCACCAGTTATGACTTCCCATTAGAGCTTAAAAAAGTATTTTGAGGTCTTATAAAGTAATCGTTAGTGACTATATTTGCGGCCGATTTTTTAAAGTAATTGTTGAAAAGTACTAGAAAGGAGAATAAGTGTTCTGGTTAAAGTTTTCAAGTCAATGAATAAAACAGCAAATTAATAAAATAGAAAATTACACAAGTAAGTGATCGGCGTGGAATTATAGGATCTTATATTATTTTATAACGTATAATAAATGAATATACTTGAGATTTTTTAGCTAATTTTCACACACTTTTAAATGTCTTGTTAACTATGATTCTAAAAGCCTAATACAGATCTAAACCTTCGTATTAATCAAATCAACGGTGAGTGTTATATGAAGGGATGAGATCTAAATAAAGCTCTGTTTGACTTAGCTTCGTTGTTCATTAATACTCATCAATAAAGTACATACGTAATCTTGATACCACTGGCACTCTTTGTGTTATTTAAGCTCATGTTATTAACTCTCATGATCAAATATGTCACCATTGGACTGTATGGTCTGTGTCAAACTTCCAGTAGGACTGAGATATTTACGTTGACTGATTATAAAATACTAATCAGTCTCATGTTTTCCAGTTCTTGTTTCGGCGCTCCGCAGTTTTCATCTCATCATATTCCTAACTAGAATGTGATTATAAATAAAAGAAAGAAATCCACAATTAATTAACTTTTCAGATGTATTTCTGTGAATGATTTCGGTTGATAGATAGAAGCATACTGGAAGCAGAAACCCTTTACTTATGAATATCAACTAGCATATGGCTTAGCTTAAGGTTTCTTACCACCTGAAACCCAAACTGTGCACGCACTAGTGAATCATTTAGACATCAGGTCAAATTGAAACTTGATCGGCAGAATCAATTCCTAACTAAGGGTTGGATAAACACGACGATCAATGTGAACAAATAGTAATTGACCTTATAATATAAAAGATTCACATATTTTAATTATTCTGTGATGCCTTTTTATTTTGTTTATATACTGTTTAATCAATTCTGGATTTAACTGTAGATATTTGATAAATACAAAATCAATGTTTCTTTCTGTTTAAAGATCAAAATTGAATTTAATTTCTTTACAACTTATTTCTCTTTAAAAGTAATAATTAAACATTATATTTACCATTTATTAATAAACAAAATAA